CAACATTTGAGTTTCGATTCTTATCACCTGACGTCTGCGATTTTCATGTACCAATTCGGACGGGACTAGCATCTTCGTGTTTATTACAGAGGTGGGAGGGTCTGTTTTGTACATCTGGGCGTTTCAGAGATCACACGCTCTGTATGCGTGCATTGCTTATAGTCATTCGGATTGATTAGCTGATTAGTATAATCAGTTTTATTACAAATACCATGGTGAAGCTAAATGGATAGTATAGCAAAACCATGTTAATGTGTGGTTACTTTAGTTTAACTATTTTATTTTTTTATTTATTTGTAGTAAACCCATGTTTAATTTTCATAAATGTACATATGTAATTAAAACATTATGTAATTGAGTGCAGAAATGAACGTGAGTAAACTTACCTGACGCTGATATTACAATACCCAGTCTTAACAGTTTACGTGATCTGGCTCTTGATTTTATTATTATTTATTTTATTTTTTTTGCCGGGAGGCAAATATATCAAACATGCGCGCGGTAAGAGCATCTACGGTAATTCACGTTGGCCAAAACACACAAGGAAACAAAAAAAATATATCACCGGCAATCAATTCTGTCAGTATGGGGTGCTGTGTGTACATTAATGAGGGAAAAAAAATAACTTAAATGATTTTAGCAAATGGCTGCAATATAACAAAGAGTGAAAAATTTAAGGGGGTCTGAATACTTTCCGTACCCACTGTATATCACCGGCAATCACAGACATTCGCATTCGGATGGGATTAGTTTTCTCAGAGGATCACTGAGTTTGCTGAAAAACAGTAGGTAATTTGCTCTGGAATTATTACAGAGGTTGTGTGAGAAAAACACAGACGTGGCAGATTCAGATGGGATTAAAATCACCAAGTACGTCTGTGAAACACAAATTTCTCTAACGACCCCCTGTAAAACTAGTCCCGTCCGAATAGGGCTATAGTGTCACGGACACGCTATTGAACAAGGACTCTGTGTTTACTAAAGTAACGTTAGGGTGGCATAAAGGTTTGCATTAGTAACATGGTTCTACAATATTTGTGTGATGCTACCACAAAGAGTACGATAAACAGCCGTGATGCAAGACTTTTGCAGACAGACACAGTGGGAATACATCAACATGCTCTGCTTTGAAGAGCTAATTAATTCTTATCCTCCTCTCGCTCTTCCTGTGCTTCAAAGGAAGAGTGAAGCACGACAGAGACGCACACACATAACTCAACCTGGAGTCATCCGATTGGACTTTTATCGGATTCCTGCCTGCAAAACTTTCGGTCTGTCTTTAACTGTCAGACATCAGTTTGACATCTCTAGATCTAAGTATACCTACACCATTAGTGTGTGGGTCTAAAGAGTATCTGTAAAGAATGAAACACGTCCTGGATCCATATTTTAAAGCTCTTCGCTGCATTTTAACTGTTTTCCCAAAGAGCATTGAGTGCTTTAGAGAAGCATGAGTCATAAGGCAGCATTTGCCTAAGAGAGACCTGTGGGATCGGTTGCTCTTTAATGTAGGGAGAAAGTGACATAATTCTATTGTTTGTCCTGACTGAAACTGTCCTAATTGGCCGTGATGATGTTGCATCATGCAATATTTTCATATTTGATGTTACATATACAATGGAGTTGGATTTTAAAGCAGGATTTTTGGTTTCACTTCATTTGGATGGTCCCTTTAACACATTCTGTTGACTATAAGTAACGTTGCACCTACATAACTACTAAGTCTCACTAGTGTTAGTAAAGTATTAGTTGACTGGTAGGGTTAGGGTTAGATGAAGTTGACATGTACTTGAAAAGTTACTTATAGTCAGTAGAATGTCTGTTTGGAGACCATCACAATAAAGAGTTAGCAGATGTTAAGCAGATAGTCTATTAATACTCTAATGAGAGTTAGCTGATATGTCGGTGCAATGTTACTTATTGTCAACAGAATGTTCAAAAGGGACCATCAAAATAAAGTGTTGGTGGATTTTTAATCATTGAGATTTCACCGTTGGCAGAGTCACCTATAATAATGTGGGGGGAAAAACAAGTAAAAAATGTATTTTTTATTTTGATTTGTTTTGGATTAAACAAAAACTAAGGAATAGAAACAAAATATGTTTGTATTGTGAAGCCTTAGTACAAGATAATACAAAATTAAAGTAGTAATATTTTAAGAATAAAGTCTGAGAATAAAGTTGAGATTAAACGTGTAATATTATAGTTATAAAATGAATTATTTGGAGTAAAGAAAAATAACCACATTATTACAAGATACAGTATGATTATCACAATGAATAGAATGTCATACCAACAGCATGGATGTGGAGGATTAAATGTTCAATCTGTGCAGTAAAGTTAGTTTCAGTTTGGCTGGATATTCAACTTCCTGGATCATCTGGAAGTGACAGTCTTACAAAGTTAGCACTAGCACAAATACATTACAAAAATATAACGCCTCTTAAATGCCATCCTTACATAAGAGACGGTGTGAAAAAACAGCAAAACATCTGTGGCATTCAACCTTTCATTCATCATACGTATTTACCATAAAAACAATAATAAGAAATGTTCTAATAGTTAAAGTAGGCTCTTACTCTATTAACTGACTTATTTATAAGAACAATAAAGCAAATGTTGGTAAAGTGATAGCACCATTTATTTTGTGTGTATTTCTAATTTTAAAGGGTTAGTTCACCCAAAAATGAAATTCTGTCATTAATTACTCACCCTCGTGTTGTTCCAAATAGGGCTGTCGTGATAACCGCAATATCGCAATACCGCGCTATTGACGAGCAAACCGCAGAGGAATGCAAGAACCGCAGCAACCGCGATTTTTGCGTATTTTCTTTTTTCGTAAGGTTATGCCCTTCTCGTTTTACACTTCATGCATGTGGACTAAATATTAAACAAGTTAGTAATGATAACATAACGTGTACCATGCTGATTTGAACAGAGGGTCCGTATATTTGCACTTAACAAGCCTAAACAGACAGTGAATGAGAGAGAGATCGACTGAGCGCGTGTGATTACTTGCGTCTGTCCTCCAGGCTGAGTCATATATATTTGTGAAAATAGGTTGTCATGTTCAAGGAAAGCGAAATCTCTGTCTTAGCATCGACGCATAGCTGGTCAGCTGAGCCTTCTAAAGT